AAAATGGTCATTTTTTTGGGCTAAAAACGCCTTACTATACATGGTCATTTTTTTCGGGCTAAAAACGCCTGACTATACTATGTCGTTTTTTTCGGGCTCAAAACGCCTTACTAAAAATGGTCATTTTTTTGGGCTAAAAACGCCTTACTATACATGGTCATTTTTTTCGGGCTAAAAACGCCTGACTATACTATGTCGTTTTTTTCGGGCTCAAAACGCCTTACTAAAAATGGTCATTTTTTTGGGCTAAAAACGCCTTACTATACATGGTCATTTTTTTCGGGCTAAAAACGCCTGACTATACTATGTCGTTTTTTTCGGGCTCAAAACGCCTTACTAAAAATGGTCATTTTTTTGGGCTAAAAACGCCTTACTATACATGGTCATTTTTTTCGGGCTAAAAACGCCTGACTATACTATGTCGTTTTTTTCGGGCTCAAAACGCCTTACTAAAAATGGTCATTTTTTTGGGCTAAAAACGCCTTACTATACATGGTCATTTTTTTCGGGCTAAAAACGCCTGACTATACTATGTCGTTTTTTTCGGGCTCAAAACGCCTTACTAAAAATGGTCATTTTTTTGGGCTAAAAACGCCTTACTATACATGGTCATTTTTTTCGGGCTAAAAACGCCTGACTATACTATGTCGTTTTTTTCGGGCTCAAAACGCCTTACTAAAAATGGTCATTTTTTTGGGCTAAAAACGCCTTACTATACATGGTCATTTTTTTCGGGCTAAAAACGCCTGACTATACTATGTCGTTTTTTTCGGGCTCAAAACGCCTTACTAAAAATGGTCATTTTTTTGGGCTAAAAACGCCTTACTATACATGGTCATTTTTTTCGGGCTAAAAACGCCTGACTATACTATGTCGTTTTTTTCGGGCTCAAAACGCCTTACTAAAAATGGTCATTTTTTTGGGCTAAAAACGCCTTAATGTCGTTTTTTTCGGCTAAAAATGCCTTACTATATATGGTCGTTTTTTTGGGCTAAAAACGCCTTACTATACATGGTCGTTTATTTCGGCGAAAAACGCCTTACTATACTATGTCGTTTTTTTCGGCTAAAAACGCCTTCCTATACATGGTCGTTTTTTTGAGTGAAAAACGCCTCTTATACATGGTCGTTTTTTTTTAGTTAAAAACGCCTTACTATAGATGGTCGCTTTTTTTGGGCTAAAAACGCTCTACTATACATGATCGTTTTTTTGATTGAAAAAAAGCCTTCTATACATGGTCGTTTTTTTGAGTTAAAAACGCCTGACTATACATGGTCGCTTTTTTTGGGCTAAAAACGCCCTACTATACATGATCGTTTTTTTGAGTTAAACAAGCCTGACTATACATGGTCGTTTTTTTCGGCTAAAAACGCCTTCCTATACATGGTCGTTTTTTTCGGCTAAAAACGCCTTCCTATACATGGTCGTTTTTTTCGGCTAAAAACGCCTTCCTATACATGGTCGTTTTTTTCGGCTAAAAACGCCTTCCTATACATGGTCGTTTTTTTCGGCTAAAAACGCCTTCCTATACATGGTCGTTTTTTTCGGCTAAAAACGCCTTCCTATACATGGTCGTTTTTTTCGGCTAAAAACGCCTTACTATACTATGTCGTTTTTTTCGGCCTCAAAATGCCTTACTATACATGGTCGTTTTTTTCAGGCTAAAAACTCCTTACTATACTATGTCGTTTTTTAACCGGGCTAAAAACGCCTTACTATACTATGTCATTTTTTTCGGGCTAAAAACGCTTTACTATACTATGTCGTTTTTTTTCCGGGCTTAAAACGCCTTACTATACTATGTCATTTTCGGCTACAAACGCCTGACTATACTATGTCGCTTTTTTCGGGCTCAAATCCGCCTAACTATTCTATGTCGTTTTTTTCATGCCAAAAACGCCTTACTATACTATGTCGTTTTTTTCGGCTAAAAACGCCTTACAATACATGGTCGTTTTTTTCGGTCATTTTTTTGGGCTAAAAACGCCTTTCTTTACATCGGCTTAAATGAGTGAAAAACGCCTTACAATACATGGTCGTTTTTTTTCGGCTTAAAACGCCTTACTTTACATCGTCGTTTATTTCGGCAAAAAACGCCTTACTATACATGGTCGTTTTTTTGGGCTAAAAATGCCCTACTTGATTTACATGGTCGTTTTTTTCGGCTAAAAAACGCCTTACTATACAGAGTTGTTTTTTTCGGCTCAAAAACGCCGTTCTATACATGGTCATTTTTTTCCGCTCAAAACGCCCTCCTATACTTGGTCGTTTTTTTGGACTAAAAACGCATTCCTATACATGGTCGTTTTTTTGAGTTAACAACGCCTTGCAATACATGGTCATTTTTTTGGGCTAAAAACGCCCTTCCATGGTCGTTTTTTTCGGCTATAAACGCCTGACTATACATGGTCGTTTTTTTTTCGGCAAAAAAAAGGCCTTACTATACATGGTCGTTTTTTTGGGCTAAAAACGCCTTACTCTCCACGGTCGTTTTTTTGGGCTAAAAACGCCTTACTTTCCATGGTCATTTTTTTTTTGTTAAAAATGCCCTACTATACATGGTCGTTTTTTTCCGCTAAAAACGCCTTCCTATACATGGTCGTTTTTTTTTGTTAAAAATGCCCTCCTATACATGATCGTTTTTTTTCCGCTAAAATTGCCTTTCTAAACATGGTCGTTTTTTTCGGCTAAAAACACCTCACTATACATGGTCGTTTTTTTCGGCTAAAAGCGCCTTACTATACATGGCTTTTTTTTGGTCAAAAATGCCCTACTATACATGGTCGTTTTTTTTTATTTAAAAACGCCTTCCTATACATGGTCGTTGTTTTGGGCTAAAAACGCCTTACTTTCCATGGTCGTTTTTTTTCCGCTAAAAACGCCTTACCATACATGGTCGTTTTTTTCGGCTAAAAACGCCTTCCTATACATGGTCGTTTTTTTCGTCAAAAAACGCCTTACTATACATGGTCGTTTTTTTTTTTTTAGTTAAAAACGTCTTAGTATACATGGTCGTTTTTTTGGGCTAAAAACGCCTTCTGATACATGGTCGTTTTTTTCGGCTAAAAATACCTTACTATTCATGGTGTTTTTTTTTCGGCTTAAAACGCCTTACTATACATGGTCGGTTTTTTTCGGCAAAAAACACCTTCCTATACATGGTCGTTTTTTTTCGGCGAAAAACGCCTTTCTATACATGGTCGTTTTTTTGGGGCTAAAAATGCCTTACTATACATGGTCGTTTTTTTCCGCTAAAAACGCCTTTCTATACATGGTCGTTTTTTGGGGGCTAAAAACGCCTTACTATACATAGTGGGTTTTTTCGGCTTCTTTTTCAGCTAAAACGCCTTACTACACATGATTTTTTTCGCTAAAAACGCCTCACTTTCCATGGTCGTTTTTTGGGGCTCAACACGCCTTACTTACAATATACACGTATATACGTGGTCGTTTTTTTTTTGGGGGGGGGCTAAGTACGCCTTACTGTGGTCGTTTTTTTCAGAGATGAAAGTGGACTTTTCTGAAAATTCCGGAATAAATAAATAAAGGTATATATACACACACACACACGCGCACTTGGCCAATCACGCATGAATTAGTTTACACAAAACGCTATTCAAATACTCGACATTCAATGATTAATCTTCCTTTTGTGTTCACACGTGTACCCTTTGTGGCTTCCGTTCGGGCCGAAATTTCGAAATGTCCAAGATATGGCGAGGCCATGAGAATGCGAGGCAAGGGTATTACTGTTGTGGCGACGCCACTCAAGCTCAGCGAGCCTCAGTAGTCGATAGTCCGCTGCTCTCTGCTGCGCGTGCGTCAGCGCGAACATGTACGCAAGCGCGTTTTTTGATTTCAACCAATCAGCGTCGACGCAAATGACGTCACACACGACAACAGCTAAGCTAAGTTAGCAGAGACGACACTCGAAGTCGGACGGACACGATTTTCTGCCAATCTGTGTTTTTCCCTTTTTGGCCAAATATATTTTTTACTACAACTGTCTTGTTGACGGCGTCTTTTATTCGTTACACTGGGGTTTAGCGGGTGTGTTTATAAAGAGACGAAAATTGTTTGGGGACTATCCCCCACGTTCTAGTTGAGATGGTATAACCCAAGAGGCAAAATGACGCTTGCTACTGTTGTTGCGAGTTGCCATTCGTTCTACTAAACCATTAGTCAAACGCCATCATGTCTTCTGTCGTTATTACACAAACAAAAATCTATTTACCGTTACTAGTGTTAGTGCCTCAATTTGGCTACGCTCGTGACAGCAATACAACGAACTCAAACGCGTCTTCGTTCAATGTTGTCAACTAATATCCGGATTAATTTTATTATTTATTTTATTTTCCTCAATTCTCCGGAGAAATTTTCATAAAAATTTGAAAAACCCGGAATTCCGGGAAAATCCGGAGGACTTTCATCTCTGTTTTTTTCCAGCTAAATAGCCTTACTATGCATGGTCGTTTCAGGAAAAAAAAATGTCTTACGATACATGGTTGTTCAAAAACGCCTTACGACACATGGTTCTTTCAGGGAAAAAAATGCCTTACTATATATTATTTCTGAAAAAAACACCGTAATCTTTCTTTACATTTTTTTTTTCTTTTCAAGACACTGTGCTATACACGATCATTTTTTCAAAATTAGAGAGCCCTAACATGAGCATGAGAGTTGCAAGTTTAGCCAATTTCGCCCTTGTCTGGGAACATTCACACCTGGTCTCCTCACGCTTGCTTCTTTGCGGGTTAATATGCACACGTTGAACGGTATCCAGGGAAAGGTCAACATTCCTGTGATAAGAGACTTTTGTTCCCTTCAAGCTTTAAGCAGGAAGTTTAACAATCACCAAGAGCCCCCCTCTCCCCTCCCTCGTAAACTTTTTTTTATTCAAGAACAATGATTCCCAAGAAGAACTGCTGTAAAGAAAGCACTCAATGCATTATTGATGCGTGGCTCGACCTGCGTCGCTCTTGTAGTCCCAAATATTTATGCCGCCGCTGGCAAGACGTCCTGGCAAGCCGGGACAAGAGCAACTTCTCCACCTTGCAAAACATTTGTGGACAACAAAAACCAAAAGAAACGGCATGGACCCACACACACACAGACAGACGTGAAACTGAGTAATGTTTCAGGTGTATTCAAACCTTAAACCTAACTAAATTGTTCAGATTACAGAGTTTGGGGGGAAAAAAATCGAGAGGCACAAGCCATTAGCTGCTAGTTTATCTTAGCATCAAGACAACAATGATGGCGATAGAAAGCCAATTGGTAAGTTCTCCGCAAATGTGAGGTTCAGTGTGACTTTTGTGTGTGTGTGTGTGTCCACCCTTTGCAGGTGAAACACCGAAAGGCTGAGCTGAAATTCCACCACCAGAGAGAGAGAGAGAAGCGAGTGGAAAACAGTTACCTTCTTCATTTGTATCTGTGATAAACTATAACGGCTATGAGCCTGCAGAGGGAAAAACGGCAAGACTGTTGTCAAGGATTTGAGTACAGTGACTACAGAATAACAGCAAGTCATTCATAATTTGGTTAGAAATAAAAACAAAAAACCCAAAAAGAAATAAGTAGGGACAGTGCGGTGAATTAAGTGCAGTAAAAATTCTAAACTGAAATGCGACAGTCCACCACAAAAAATAATACTAAATAATAATTGTGTACAGTCCTGTGAAATTTGAAGGGGCAATGGTGTTCAATCATTTTATTTCAAATAAATATTAACATTTTGTAGGTAAGAAGAATAGAGCTGTAACAATCTCGGGAAATAATTTTGCAATAAAAATAAATAAAATCCAAAAATGAAGCTGGAGCCAGTCCAGTGAAACCAAAAAGATACTGCAATAAATATGTTAGCAATATCAAGGGGAAAAAAATATCGTGCAAATGTGTTTAAAAACAAACAACAAAAACAGGAAAAATAAAGACATGCAATGGATTGACTGAAATCCAAATGAATCAGTGAAACATTCCGTCTGCATTTCAAGTGAAAGAAGTGACTTGCCGGCAAAATTCGTCATCGTCGTTTATGATGAAAGAGAACAAAAACAGAGGTGACGTCTGTCAGACATTTGTGAGCGCGCCGCGGTTTGCGTCTAATGAGCAATCCTTACGTCTCCGCACAGACTGACATGACCTCGCCGTGAACCCCTTTCACTTCCCAAAACGACCCCTTCCCCCTCCCGCCTCCACGTTGGCATCTTCCAAAACGTGGGCGAAGTCATCGGGAGGTTAACACCGCTGGATCGTGTCATTTCGCGTCTGCTCGCTCTTTTGCCACAGGGGGCTAACCGACGCTCACCATTGAACCCTCCGCCATGAATTAAACATGGTTAAACACCGAGACGCACGCAGGCAGAGAGACGCCGACGACTCTCATCATCTCGTGTTGTGGGTGCTGCTCAAAAAAAAAAAACAAAAAAAAACACGCTGCTTCTGGAAGAGTTCAAACACCGGTCGCCGGCGGATCTTTTGGTCGGCTGCCGTTTGACCATCTCTGCAACATCACAGTCTGCATCAAAAATACTTAAACCATCATGCGCCATGAGATCGATTAGCACTCGCCGTGAAAAAGACATGTTTTATTTGCTGATGCCGATTCCGGGATTTGGCTGCAAAAAAATTAATCAGCTGATGAATCATCTGATTAATTCAAATAAATGCTCTATGGGTGCGATGATTAATCGACAACTAATCGGCAATCAAATTAGTGGCTAATTATTTTTGGTCGTCGATTCATCATTTAGATAGCTTTTTTGGGTCAAAATCCTCAAAACTTCAGCTTCTCAACAGTAAAGATTGTCTGTGTGTTGAAACAAAATTAAAATGATTCAGATACTTGTACATCAAATCAATATGCTCCATTGAAATGAAAGGCCATGAATCAATTCCAGCCCCTTCAAAAACAACTCATTTTTTGTTCCATGCTTTTATTCAAGATAAATAGCGCTGTGTTGTAAAACATTTTTTGAAATGGTTAAAAACCAAATGTTAGGATAATTTAAGGTCCACTATACTGTTTTTAAAGGGTGTGACTTGGCGAGTGCCAGTTTTTCAGTTGATCGGCTCCATGCTCCTTACGAGTGCTTTCATTTTGTATTTGTGTGTTTGAACGTTGGTCCCGTTCAATAAAGAGCTGAACGTGCTACACTCACCACGGCGGCTCTGCTTGCCCACTTGTGAGGGCATTATAGTCAGCACCTTAATTGACCCCCCCCCCCACCTTTTCCCCCCCAACTTCACTCAATCGGAAAGGTTTCGGTTCAAATCGAATGTTTTGGGCAATTTCGAATTGAATCGAGGAGAATCGTCACTGTGATGCCTCACCTGCGACAGGAGCTTATTGTTGTCGTCCTCCAGGATTCGCACTTTGGTCTCTAGCTGCCGGATGTAGTTGGAGGAGGAATCTGCAGCCGCAGAAGAAGATGAAGAGGGGAGGAGACACCATTAGCATTTCAAAAGATGTCAAGACGGAGAACACGGAAAACGACGAGGCGGCAGACGGCGCCAGAAGGCCCACAGGAGTCCACAACGGTTGGCACATGAGAACCTTCACAAACTTTGGGGAGTTTTTCCAAATGTAATTGTGAGCTTTTATCTTCAGAATTTCTATTTCAGAGCGGAAACGTTTATATAAGTCAACCATTTAATTTTGTGACCTGGGATAGGTCATATGGTTAAAAAAAATAAAATAAAAACGGAATTAAAATAATTAGGGAATAGCATAAAAAACATTTAAAAATTGATATAATTACCGTATTTTCCGCACTAAAAGGCACACTGGATTATGAGGTGCACCTTCAATGAATGGCCTATTTTGTAATTTTTTTCACAAATTGAACGCACTGGATTACGCTCCTTCCGTTCGACTCGAGAGACGTTCATGACCGCCTCCGAAAAACATAAATTAACGATTCCTTCAATGAAACTCCGAAAATTGAAAATAATGCATCAAAACAGAAAATCAAGCAAGGAAATCTCAAAATAAATTCTTTAGCCCCCCCCACAGAATTTATTTTGCCATTTTGGTAAGTGTGCATTTAAAAAAAAAAAACACCACAGCTCTCCTTTCTTCGGAACTGCAACAAAAACTTATTTAATGAAGCAGCGACACAGTTCACTGAACCAACAGCAAGTTATAACATTGTAAGCATGTCTCCAGCAAGGAGCCATATCTTGGGGTTGACATATTACCCTAATGACCGTACACAAGGCGCACCGGATTTTAAGACGCGCTGTGAGCTTTTAAGAAAATGGAAGATTTTTCGGTGCGCCTTATAGTGCGGAAAATACAGTATATAAAATCAGATTTTAACATTTGATGTTCATAAAAATCATGAAGAAAAAGTGACAGTGACTAAAAGTGATTTAAATTTTTTTTTTTTTTTTTTTTTACAAAAGCCTCAAGAAATAAAAGATTTTTTTAAAGATGCATATAAAAGAATGTATTTATGAAATTATTATTTCAGTTAGACATTAAATTTGGTGAGGCAAATATTTAAAAGAATTTTGAAAAAAAATAAGTGTTTTGGTAAAAAGCTAAAAAAATAAAATAAAAAAAAAAATCACTTTCAGTTTAAAAAAGTTTAAATGTGCAAATGAAATAATCACGCTTGGCCAAACCCCCGTCAATGCAAATGTGTTCGACCTGCCACTCCGCTTTTCATCTCTCCATGTGGTCATGTGATATCTGCACTTGGAAAAGGAGGGGACAAAAAAACCCAGCTGTTCAATGATGTCTGTTTCAAAAGCATAAACATTCCCTGGGCCATTATCCCCGTCTGACCCGATGCCCTCTCCCATTCTTTTCCCGCCACATGTTTCCGGTAAAAAAAAAAAAAAAAAAAAAAAAAAAGCAGCAAACAAGCATCACACACCCATCGCATCGCGGCAGAATTTCCTCGCTTGCCGCTGTTGCTCGCGGTGGCGGGTTCAAACCGGGGACAGGAGCAGAGAAGTGAGGCGCGTCATCCCCCAGTCCCTGTAGGTGGCACCGAGCCTGTTCTCCCCAAAAAAGCCGCGTTTAATTTACAGCGTCGCAGTCTGACGGCGCGTCGCGAGGGATGGACAAGCTTTTGTTTGCTAAGTGGAAAGACAGACAAAAAGACACCTGACAAGACCCTTCGCTTTGGCAGATTTGACTTTATATATATTTATATAAAAGTTCGAAAAGTTTTCTTTGGCATCGCATAACGCAGTGCACCCCCCGACTTTTATCATAGTTTATCATTCACACACCCCCACCTATTCGTGTAACATCAATGCTAATTTGTCATATTGTAAATGGATATTGGCCCATTACCAATTACGTTTTGACGGTTTATCAAGGTTTGAAAAAGTCGTGGTTTCAATACTCGCTAATACTTAGCTGTCACGGAGAATGAGCTGAGGGGACTTCTAAGAAAGTTACAAAATGATTGTCTGCTCGCAAGGCGCCTCGAAGTTAATCTCCACCATGAACTTTCCTCCTCCTTGATGAGCAGAAACGGGAGGGGTGAGCAGTTACATATGGCAGAAAAGGCGGGAGCAACACAACACAGACAACAGACATGATGCAAACACTGATATTTTGTTGCTCTGTTGATCAATGTGCACCGTGCTTAAAAAAATAATTAAAAAAAAAAATGGTGCCAGTGGCTACTAGTTAGCCCCAAGGACAACATTCACAGCTTACGCTTAACATGGTGTATATTTCTTCTGTCCTACATATTTGATATTTTGTTGAAAAATAAAATGTGTTGAATGGGCAAAATAAGGCTATCTTTAATTACCAAAATATTTTTTTAAATAGGTCATTTTAGAGCTGTAATTTTAATACCTTGATACCGAGATTGTTTTTGCTCAGGGTAATCATATTGTCAGAATCTGATACTGGCCTGTGCCTGGTTGTTTGAAATATATAACATGTAGCTTGACAGTAAACTGAGAGTGGCATTAAACATCTTGAAAAACGTTTTTAAAAAAGACTGTATACCATTTTCGGAGCATATACCCCGAAAAATGAACGATGTCTCATTATACACCTTGACAACTGCAGTGTTGTAACACACAAGCAGCGGCGGCGTGCACGTATGAAGACTGGCCCGCCGCTAATCTCCAGGTTGGGCCTTGTGACCCGCTAATCTGGACTCATCTGATGCCGGCCTGACCTTTGGCTACCACTCAAGCCGATTAAGATGAAGGTTCTTCACAGACCAATGAATGTGCATCCTTGTTTGTTTAAACTGGTATCTTATTGGCCGCCGGAATGTCAACAGGAAATTCGGTTCTACGAGTGGGATTTATTCAAATTGCGTTTGTCCCACTATCAGAAATGTTAAACGGACAGACTGTATTGATACCGTCACTTCCTAGTTGTTCTCATTTCAGAGCTAGTTTTTTTCTCAGAGGAAATACAGTCGACTCAAATCATTCGTCTCAATATTTGTTTTCATTGTTTTAAAAAGAACACATGATTAAAAAAAAAGAAGTCAATAATTTTGTAATAAAACTGAACCAATCTAAAATTTTAAAAAAAATTTAAACGTAGTGGTCGGCCCACAGGTTGAGCTCCAAGCAAGCATTCGCTCACTTCCTGGTTATCCACCAATCACAGGTGACCGCTGCAATTTCGAAATACACACTAAATCAGTCCTTTTTCCGCCTCCTCCTCAGTCTTTTATTCGTGGGATTTGTCAGCGACCACGCCGCATGTTATACTTCATATTAAAATGTGCTTTGACAGAATCGATTATTTGCATTTGCATTCATTTCACTGGGAAACGTTGCCTCAATTCACAATGTAGTATAAGGAGGTTGAAATTAAATGTAGGTGTTTAATATTCATAGTGTGAACCTCTAATAGAAGCAGTTATAAATATTTTTATGGGGCATCAATTCATTCCCCCCCCCTTTTTTTTTAAAGGGATTAGCATTAATTTTGTTTTATTTTTTTGACAATGACAACTTATTCGTCGACAACCCGATCGAGCATCTGCTTTGAACGCCACACACGCTCGACCCCCGCATGCAAATCGCCTGTTTCGTGGGTATCAAACGCAGGACTTGAATCCTCACCGTGGGGGGGGCTGCGTTTAAACCTTAGCGTCATGTCCGAGTGGTCCGAGCGCTAATCCCTCACTGAGGGTCCTCCTCGCACGCAAAAAAAAAGAAAAAAAAAATGCTTCTAATACTGTACTTATAACAAAATATTTGTCTACTAAATAAAAGCTCTCATCTCCATTCCAATTACTTTCAAAGCGCTCGCTGGGCCAGCAAATCAGAGCCCTTTCTGCTTCTCGTCCAAGAACCCCCCCCGCGCTCCCCCGAGGACGGCGGTCCGGCCGAAAATAAACTCATTAGCCGACGGGGCGGGAGTGGGCTCGCTCGCCGCCGTTTTAAGAGGGGCCGTTTTTACTTCAGCATTAGCACGAGCAAAAAGTAGAGCAACATTCACACCTCGTGTCGACTCTCTCTCGCGCTCTTTCTCACGTGTCTTTGTGTGTGCGTGCGGTGACGCGGACAGTGGCACCATCCGCCCTCCCCTGCGCCCGAACCCCATCCCCAACCGCACGTCGCTTTCAATCATGTCAGTGCGCCGCTGTGACCCACTTCCAGCAGCCTCTCTTTTCCAACCCTGTTGCCGTACTAGCGTGCTGTGCCCCCCCCATCTCGTCCCTCTCTGACCCGGACAGCATCCTTTCTGGGTGTACGGTGGGTAGAGAAAGTCTACACACACCCATTGAAATGCCAGGATTTCAATGCCAGGAGCCTTTTACGTAGGGATGTGGCTGTGTTCGGAATTAACCAAGCACATTCCAACTCATCTTGATTGGCGGCCACAATTTCATGTGCATCTGACTCCATATAAAGCTCAGTTTGTCTAGGAGGCTTTTCATGACCTTGTTTTGCTTTCTCGGAGTAGCCCGACGGGTTTTCTGCTCACACTGACTAGTATTGGGAGCTGTTCATAATTCCTCTCCAGCTTAACAAGGCATTCAAAGCATAATGCCGCCGACCAACCATGCTTGACTCTAGGTAGGGTGTAGCAATTTTGTCATTTAAATAAGGGGTCCCCAACCCCTGGGCCGCGGACCGGTACCGGTCCGTGGGTCATTTGGTACCGGGCCGCACAGAAAGAATAAATAATTTACAATTGTTCCATTTTATTCATTTCGGAATCTGAAAGATGTTTTATTTCGAAAATTTACCGGATTCTGCGTTACATCCATCTACAGTATGTCACTCTTGACGCAGGTCAAGGCGGGCTTCTCGGTCACGCGATAGGTTACCGCTGAAATGAAAACCGGGAGCTAGCAAAATGAGTAAAAAACGTCTTTGGAAAGTTTTTTTGGGAAGGGGAAAAGGCCCAGCCAGGAGGAGCCAATGACGTATTTAATAAAGCAGCGACACAGTTCACTGAACCAAC